CTTGGCGCAAGGCTAGCCTGAGTTTCTTCCGACTGTGTGGACGATCCATCCTGGAGTGTTGCAGCATCTGCGGGCTGCATCCAAAGGTCAGTTCCCTTGCTCAAGTGTCCAAGCTTTTGCTTGCTCAAAGGCATTGCTTGGTGCGGAGTTTTGATACTGAGCGCTGTACTCAACAGGAAGATGAGGGAGAGCCCATCGAGAGTGCGCATCCTGGTCTTTCTCCACGTTAGATTTTGTGAATTTGAAGTCACGGACATCAAGAACTTTAAATCCTCTCGGTGGAGGACTGCAACCTCCTGCAAGGCAGTCAAGGCTGCTCGAAATTGAGATTTTGTTGCACTCAACGCTCTTGCAGCGCACAGGTCCGATCCGCATTCTTGTTCTTGACAGGTACTTCTGTGCGACGGCATCGCTGGTCTGGCTTGCGCCGACGGCGGGCGCCAGAAAGGAGGGTTGGCAGGCACCAGCGCGGCGGCTGTGCGCCCATTCACAGCGCCGAGCCAGGATTCTGCTGGGGTCAACGTAGAGAAGACCATGGAGGCGGGCGTCAACTTCTGCGCTGCGTCTCTCGAGGGGCGGGGGATGAAGCGGCGTCTTGTGATCCAGCCTGAGCTGCGGACGCTGCTTGCGCGGTTCAGTGGACATCATCCAAAGGACCCCGACCTTGGGAAGCCCCTCGCTCAAAAGGAGTACGTGGAGTTGCTTGTAAGCTATTAAGCGGCAAGCGGTCGCGTGATGGCGCATCAGTCAGAAGTTGCATGTTCTCCCTTGTGAAGAAGTCGGCGAGTTTTGACTAGGCTAGCCCGGTGCATCACGCCCACCTTGCTCAACTTGCTCAGGAGCGGGCAGATTGCGGGGGTGGCGCGCATCTTGGATCAATCAAAACTGGGCTGGTCTTCAAACATAGAAAGCTGACGTCTGAAGCTGACGTGGCACACCAGAGCAAGTTTTTGACTGAGATTGCGCTAGGTGCTAACGATTCATTGTGCTAATGCAGGTTGCGCTGGAGCGGGCTGACGTCGAAGTGGTGGCCGGCTTCGTGGCAGACCCAGCTGATGCTGATGCAGACCCCATTCTCCTTCACTGGAGGCGGCGGATCTTGACGGAGCAGGTTGGGCAGATCCGCTCAAAGAACGAAGCCGTGCTCGAGCTCCTTGATGGGATTGAGCGAGAGGCGATGCGTGAGAACTTGCGCTGGCCCCCGCGCTGCCCCGGCAAGTGGTCCGAGCTGCTCTATGGGCTGGGCACCCCTCTCTCCGTCTCGGACGATTCGAATCTCATTCAGCACGGACGGGCGCTGGCTGTCGTGCGAAAGCTCCTCCTCGGGGGCGCAGCAAACGGCGAAGACAAAGCCACCTTGGCTGAGCATGCGCCAGTCTTGCGGCGCCTGCTCGACCACTACGGTGATGTCTACCCGGACTTCTTCATGCCCGCTCTGCACCACCTGTATCGGCTGACTTTGTTTGGCCGCGGAGCGTGCGGCCTGGGAATTGGGCGAGCGGGGTGGGCCCTCTCGGCCATCGAAGGGCTTGACTACTGCGTGAGGCTGGCCAGAGCGTTTCGAACGCAGCAAAACGTCCCAAACGCTGAGCAGCTAGAAGTGTTCCGCTTTTGGGAGGCACGTGCCAACGACCTGCTGCCCGGAATCGAAAGCCTAACCCCTCCAGCCCCACAGCAGTACCCTCTTTCCCAGGCGGAGCTCCAACTTCTGCGAGACAGGTTGGGGCTCGAGGCCGACGGCTCTGAACCTCACGCCCTTCCTTCCGACCACCCGTTCTGTAAAGAGCAACGCAAGCTGGGCTGCTATCCCCTGCCGGGCTGGGAGCAAAAGCAGCCTCTCCCCCAGTACAAGCCATTCGAGGACGAGCTTGGGAGGTCCGTTGATCGCCGAGAAGAACATCGCTGCCGAAGCGGCCTCACGGTGGGCGAGTTCGATGCTGAGATTGCTGCTAAGAGCAGCGTGAAGTCTGCAAAGCGAATGCAGCAGCACACCAAGGGCGGTTTTGTGTTCTGCTGTCCCCACAGGGTCATTTACGGGTTCCATGTCATGTTGCGGGGCGAGTCCCCTCGAGACCCGTTCACCGTGCTCTACACGCGCGTCCGCCGACGGGACCTCCCTGACTTCCTTATCTATGACAACGCATGCAAGCTACAGGCGTATTGCATGAGACGCGAGCCGGCCTTCTTTGCTGATGTCCGCTTTCTGGTTGACAGGTGAGCGAAGTCTTGCGCTGCCTTTCCATCCTGATTTAAATGCAAGTGACTCGAAGGCAGGACGGTTGAGGTCCGACCGAATCATCAGGGCACCCAGGCACCAATTGCTTGCCACATGTGGCAGACTGCACAGGGGACGGCAGGTCGAAGGGCTGAGAACTTTTGGTTAGGAGGACCAGGGAAACAATCTCGAAAGCAGCTTTGAATGGCAGCTGGCACTCAGCTTCATGATTTCGTTTCCCCTGCAGATTCCACTTCCAACGGACCGATGCTGAGGCGCATAAGTGTGGGCCGGGGTTCAATCCGGGTGAGTACTTGGACATGGAAGTCAGATCTCGCGAAATGAGTGGCTTGAGCAACTTGATTGTGTGCAGCATACCTTGATCAGGGCAAGCCTCATGCCTTCGATCCACTTGTCAACCTCGCTTATGTCTCCTTCCAACAGATTACTACGACGCCGTGCGCTGGGTCAACACGTCTGCCGTCGAGAGCTGCAACTCCTATCTTATCCGATTCAAAGTGTTAGCATGGTTCTCTAGTCTAGATACGTTTTTGGTCATTCTAGCTAACGTTGTCGGTGGGCGAAACTCGAAGCTAAGGAGAGTCGATGACCCTAAGTCTCGGATAGCAGGAAGGGTAGACCGTTGGACCCCAGCCGTACAGGCAGCCCTCTTGAACAGTTGATAGAACGCGTTTATTATTGAGCTTTCAGCGAGCGTGTTTGATGCTCTTCTTTTCGTTCATGCGTGGGGAGGAAAAGGAAAGGAACCTAGCAGGACACCTCTAGCACCTTTTACATACACTTAGCAATGGAGTATATGTAGCATGATTGCTCTACATGCTTCAGAACACCTGGCACCATTGGCACCTCGGCACCTTTTCTCGCAAGCATTGACATGAACGGGCAGTTGTCGAAGAACTCAGCCAAGAAAATTTGAGCGTTCGAGGTGCCGGTGGCGGCAACCCATTCATGAGCATGGAAATTGGAAATCCGGTGCAATCGGAGGGCTTGTGCAGCAACATCACACGGTACTCTGCACATATGATGTGGCGCAGACCAGAAGCCCAGATGACCGGATATACATAACTTTTTGATTATAGCAATCAGATAGAGCATAGAATCTTTGAAATCAATTATTTTTAGAATTCTGGTCTTCTAGACTTCTGGTCTGTAATATCCATGCACGGCCATGTACAAAATCCTTACTCCATAGCTCATATGCATAGAGATGGAGCATGAAAACGATCCATCTCCTGTGTCGAAGATGCACTTAAGCTGCAGACCAAAAGGCTAGAAGACCGGGTTTTCATATCTTTCTGATTATAGCAATCATAGTCTATGATGAATTCTGAAATAAAATATTTCTAGAATCTTGGACTTTTAGACTTTTGGTCTTTAAAAATGCACGACTCTATACAACCACTCAAACAAAAGCAACAAACAATGGCCGGGTCATTCTGCATCAGACGATCGACCATGGTGTAAGTGGTGCGCTTATGTCAATCTACGTGAATGTAAGGCCACAAACCTGTCTCGGTCTTGAAAGCTCGTCCTTACGGCCCTCCTCTAATCACAATCATCATACTCGCAGCCGGATTTCAGTCGAACCCCTGAAAGGCCCTTGAATTGGCCTTGGGACTGTACCTGACTATCCGTGAATCGACCATCAAAAACCAAACGGTTAGCGCCTTCGGCAAACTCTAGAATACGTTTCTTAAGCCTCGTTGCCGACAACGAGCTGGTCAGATCCTCTTCCTTAAGCCAAGCCCGAAACGCTTCCCCAAGCCGTTCACCAACCGCTAAGTGCCAGGTCGGCTTTGTCCCTGGGTTGATGTCTTCGAATTCGAGGCAGTCTACGATCCACCGTCTTGCAATGTCGGAATCATTGATATAGGCTTTGACAGCGTCCTCCATGACACGAGGACGGCGCATCAATGGGAGACTCCTTGGATTTGCACGCTTGAGCTCGTGATAACGTTTTGCTCCTTCTGTATACCATGACAGGCCTTCATCTCGACCCTGTTCACTCTTTAGATACGCTTCAAGTGTAGAATCCATGAGCTTCTGGCGTGGCTTGCTTGGATCAAGCTTTTCGGGAGGTAAGAATGTGACCAGCATCGGCAGAAGGGCCAAGCGTCGCGTAACACAATAGGTTACGTTTTGAAGAACGGGCCGGTAATTGGTATTGAGGACGGTCTTAATACTGATTTTGAAAGTCTCCTGTTTGCTATGCAATCCGCGCCCTGTAGCCGTTCCCGATCCAGACCAGGCTTTTATCGCGGCTTCGTTCAAGACCGCCTTTTCGCCGGACTCATCCATCTCTCCAAGCCTCCCACCTCGAAGGGCCATTATATGGCTCGAAGCTGATCCAGCCGACCGCTTTCCCGCCTCGATGATGCAGTCCTCAGACATAAGAACAGCATAGCTTCCCAGAACCTCGAAGTTTGCTAGTTTTGTCAAAGACTTTCCGTTAGCTCCATTGCCTTGCTTGATCAAGAATAATTGCTCGCTCGTGTCTGCAGTCATACAATATCCGCAGAAAAGTTGATACCAATCGAGCACTTCTCTGTCGTCGTTGAAGCAATCGAGCAGAAATTTCTCGAATCGGCTACCGCCTTTTGGCAAGCCGCGAAAAGCCGCCTTGGATGCACGTGAACACAACTGCGCGGGATGGAAAGCGAGCAACTTTCCAGTTTCGGTATCAATGACGCCGTTGACGCATGCAAACAAGCACGGGTTGGCGATATCCATCAGCTCACTCAGGCTTTCAGGAGCTTGCAATGAATTGATGACAAACTCGAGGCACACTCGAACCTCGGATCTCCGCGTCAAGTCGACTAGATCTTTCCTTTCCGGAAACGGATGCGTTTTGTTGACTATCCTCCATGCTTCGTCACATATTTTTCTTTCTTCGTCGGATATCGGGTTGGATGCCCATTCTGGGAGTACCGAGTCAAGGGTCATTGGCTTGTTCATCTGTTTATAGATTGCTTGCTTGAAGGCGCTCGATCTTTGATTCGAATACCAGGTCAGGATGCGAGACATGTGGGTGCTGAAGACGCTTTGTACGTGGTATGCATTATCAATTATCCAGCGGTGTCCGTTCCAATACTGAAAAGATTTTCCCTCAGCGATAATGCGTCCGTTAACGAGATACATAGCCGAGAATATTGCTGCCATTCCACGATATCGCTGGGTCACATTACGCTTGATCAGATTGAGTTATGCTTCGAGCGCGGACTCTGACAACTTTCTCGAGTTGTTTGGAAACATACTTTTGTCGTGTATGGGATGCAATCTCAAAGGGTTGGCATCAAGCAAGGATATTGGAAGTCCGATGTTGCCAAGCTCCACAAGAGGTTTATCCGTACATTCGGAACCAAAGCATCGATAGAAGATGGTCCATCCGCGCTTCACAAGGGTCATATTATTACTACCATTGTGCCGATGCCCGTGTATGCAAGTTCGTGGGCCCTCACAGATAAATGGATAGAGCATGCCATACGAACCTTGAAAGGACACATTTCCAGAATATCGCACATTTTCATCGAGGTTAGCGTCTCGCAACAATTTTATCATTGCATCAACGATTTTTGCATGCTCGACTGGTTGTGTCTCATGTGAGATATTACGATCCTCTTCTAGGTACATATTATTACCAACAATGCTTACTTTGCCAAGCTCCTCTGTTTGGTCTGATTCGGAACCACCTACCTCTAGTCCGTGGACTGGGTTGCAAGTCGACGCAAGACTTCCATTCTTCGATCTTCGTGCTGAATCGTTGAGGAACTTGATAACCCATGATGGAGCTGGTCTGATATTCGTTCTCAAGGGTTGCGTGCACCATGTGTATTTCAGCCCAACATCGTCAGAGCCCGGGGGAGCCAATGCTATCCCTCCTTCTCCGCGCCCATCAATACCGTAAAAGTGGCCTTTGTAATCAACTCCGGCAAAACATTTACCCGATTGAAGCCCTTCTTTCAGGGATCCGCCATAAGAGAAATAGTAATGAAAACCTCCGCTTGCAGTCGTTGCTCTCAACGTGTCCGGTTCCCCATGCTCCGCAACTAATCCCTTCCAAAGAGGCATGCCGGCTAAAAAATCATCATCGGGTTTGTCTCGATTATCAACGTCGAGTACGAAAATATCCGAGATGGCCCCGGTCTTGATGGCAACGAAGTTATACTGTTTATCTTCGATAAATTCCTTGATTCGACTTTGCGCGGCTCTCCAATCGGATGGCGACCTAATGGCCCAATCGCCTTGGGAATGCGGCATCGTCCCCTTGATGCTCTTTGATCCGTCATCCGTTACTCCGACTTTTGCGGGTATCGCATACAGCCCTTGCTGTGCATATGCCTCAAAGACGTCAGCCATCGAGCTCGTCGCCATGCTTCTATCTGGTCCAAGGACCGGGAAGGTCCGACGCCCTCCTATGTTTTCTACCCCAGAAAATTTTGCTCGACCTCGAACGCGACACACGTTGGGGCGTAATGCATTTACATCCAACATCCACCGTTATATGTCTTTGGAATCTAGTACGATTGGATCCACGAGTTCCCAATCTGTGCTTCGTGCAGCCGATCCATCGTACGTTTGCTTAGTTTGCTTCCTTTTGCAATTCGTTCGAGAGCTTTTTTCAATAGGATTTCGTCCTTGTGTACCTGATAATAACTTTTGGAGTACACTCGTTTCTTCGCCTGATGTTCATCCTTGAAAATCGATGCCTCCAAGCATGCAGCACACGCACTTGACCCGTGATTATGGTTTGTCGACTCCATAGCTCGGATGCAATGATGCCTCCTGATAGTCATTGAGTAGAAAATTTCTCTCCTATAGAACGCACACAATGTGTGCAAGGTAAGAATCCGGCCCAGCTCATTCGTATCGTCTGTTGTAGAGTTCGTCTGCCGTCCTCATTGAATGACCCATGTATTGTGCCTTTGCTCTTACTTCACCGCGGGACATCAGCTTTGGACTGTGCTCGGTATGGGAGATATGTCGAAGAAGAGTACAACTGAGGTTTTTGCCAAAGTGCCTCTGGCCGAGGTCGTTTAGAACTACTGTGAAATTCGATATTGGCTCATCAAGCCAAACCAGGTAATGCCTTTTGAGGATCAAGTGTTTTCTCGGGATCAGATTGAAAGAGCGGAGAATGACCATCACGAGGTCCTTCGGAATTTCAAGCCGTCTTACGCCATCCTTCTAAAGAGTCTTGTGTCTACCGATATGGAAAAAGCACCGCCTAGGATCGTCATTCAGCTCGACGACGTTAACATCACCAGGTTTTACCTCAACACGATCGTTCTTGGATTCCTTTATAAAGAAGACGCATTCGGCGTATTCATTTCTCAACGGTCCCAGCGGCATAGTGTATAGCGCCAAGATGAGATGATCCATCACGAGCTGCTTATCGTGGCGAGACAACCTTTCCTTTCGACAGAATTTTGGCACCACGCAATGAATAATCTGATCATCGAGTTCGGATCTCTTTTCCAGCAGCTCACTCCAGGGTATCCAGTTCTCCACCTCCTTTGGCGTTTTCCTCTGCATGGATCGATCGAGCTCTTCCTCGGTTGGCTTCATTTTCTGCATATACTTCGAGTATGCTGCTTGCGCCTCTCCGGAAGCAAGAATAGTGAACGGAGCTGCGTAATTGCTCTTTGTGAGGGACTTGAGTAGTTTGCCATCACGCGATGTAAGACTCTCTATGGTCGCTATCACCTGCTCGTGGTCATCGATCCAATCGAGATCTTGCATGATGTCGGGTCCGAAATCTCCTGCTGCGTAAACGGTCTTGAGCTGTCTAATGTACACAGACACCGTAGAATCCGACCGGTTGTGGGGAGCTCCACGCAAAACCTTTTCGGGACCTTGGGCCTTTAGCTTTCTCCACACCTTAGCCTCGAAATTGGCATCCATCATCCGCAATGAAGCGGCTTATTAATACTCATCCTCATAGATATCTTTTGTAAGATACACACCATCCCGGGTCACAACCTGTTGGGATTGAAGTATTTTCCGTTGTAGTGAATCTTGCTCATAAAATTCGACCAATTACTTGGAGACATCACCGTTTGCGGCTGACTGATCGAGGTTAACAAGTGATCTCGCGGTATCAATTGGAGTGTTCGATGGATATATTTGCTGAGCATCTTTGACAAAGGGATTCGATCTCCGTCTTCGAAGACGAGTTCGTATGCTCCTTTCCGTCGTGAAGTTTGTAGCAGGTAGCTGGCACCCTTGAGACCCCGTTCCCCTTTAAGCACGATTGGAAGGTCGTGCATTTTTATCCGGCGACGATGCTCGGGGTCCAGAAGCATGAACCATTCAAGGATCAGATGCCACATGACGACCTTCACTTCTTTTGAAGTCAGATCGCGTCCCAAATCTTCCAGGCTCAACTCTCTCACTTTGCGGGATAGCTTCTTTCCAAAGGCTTCGGTCTCTTTAACGGTCATCTCGGAGTCCTCGTTGCTTGTTGCCTCTTCCAATCTGCGTTGTGTAAACTCCTTGAGAGCCTTGTTCTCCTTCTTGAATGGTGCATAGTATGTTTGATAAGCATCTCCATACCCAAGCTTACGACAGATCGTGAGGAATGGGGCTAGGCGAGTTCGTCGGCTACCAGGATTGTCGTAGCGCTCTAGTACACTTGCAACGATCTTCTGGGCCCTGCTCCTTATCCACGAGGGATCCTCGGGCATCTTGTCTTCGAAACACATGTTATAGAGGAGCTGAATCCCCTTCAAATACTGCTCTGTGGAGCTCTCCGTTCGAATCCCATCAACCAAGATCCTCCTCAGACTATCCATACTTATCCGTACCTGACTCATTGTAAGAAAATAAACTTCGAATGTCTTCACGTCTTGCAAGAGCTTATTTCAACAAGCTCTGTCAGAATAAAGTGTCATCAAAAACTCTCTCAATCATTTATACTCTGAAAACTGCTAGCGGGGGGTCAAAAAATGTTGAGAAATCTCGAGTTTTGTCAAGACAATAACTACTTATTTCAATGGCACATGACACTTTTTTGAGGCCTATCCGCTTGCGCTTCATCCATGCTCCAAAAAAAAATGCATCAGGGGGCAGGTTTTCTTTTTTTCTATTCCTATCGTCATAAGTGCACTAGGCGGCCACGATATGGAATCCACAAAAAGAAGCTTTCGAGTCGTTGCTGCCTTCGATTCAAAAGGCAACGACGCGCTCGCTCTGTTGAAAGATACAAGGCTTGAGATCGATGCTACGAAGGGCCGCGTGTCTCAAGCGGGGGCGCGTGCGGGGTCCCAGCTGTTTCGAACTCAAAAATGCCTGCAAGATAAAAAGGCTTCGCTACCACAGAGGGTGGTAGTAATGATCCAGGAGACCACAAGAGCTTCAGCAAAGAAGAAGTACGGTTACTCCGTCGAGATTGGCCCGGTCAAGAAAAGCAACCGTCCAACAGACATGCCATTCGAGGGTACCTTTCAAAGCACTCCCACGAAGATGGCAATCGAAGAAATCGAACGTACGAAGCCTTCTACAAAAAGTTCGAAGACGAAAGCCACTCAGACTCGCAAGCCGGGAAAGAAAAACGTAACGAAGACGCCCGCTGCAAAGAAAAAAGCCGAGTCGATCGATTCCAACTCTGATTCAGGTTCAGAATCGGATTGACTGCAAAGAGCATGAAGATCATCTATCGTCCATTGAAACTACACATCCGCAACAACTTTTCTAGTCCAGAAAGATCTGCGATGGCCCCTGACAGTTTCATGTGGTCACCAATCGACAACATGTAGTCAGTGACTGATATGTCAGGTAAAATGAGTTTGGTTAGAGGGGGGAACAACCACGTCCAAGATGCTTGATAACGGCGTCGAACGAGATTATACAGAAGTTATTTAAACTTAACAACTCCTTCTTCAATGAGAAGCTTTATCTGTTAAATCTAAAAACAATTCCATGTGGTCACCGACAGCTTCATGTGGTCACCGATCACCAACGTTATCATGCAAGCCGTAGCCCTCGTTTGGTTCAGACTCGGATTGATTGCAAAGTGCATGAAGATCATCGATTGTCCGTCGAATCTATCACATCCGAAACAATATTCGTTCAAAAACAATTTGCAATGTCCCCTGACAATTTCATGTGGTCACCAATCTACAACATGTGGACAGTGACTGACAAGTCAGGCTAAAAAGACACTGGTCGGAGTGGAGAACAACCACGTCCAAGGTGCTCGATAACGGCGTTGAACGAGGGTTATACGAATTTTTTCAAACATAATAACTCGTTCTCCAATGAGAAGCTATATGTTTAAGATTTTGGAACAATCTCATGTGGTCACCGATCACCGACGTCACCAAACCAGCCGTAGCCTTCATTCAGGTTCAGAGTCGGATTGATTGCGAAGCGCATGAAGATTATCGATCGTCCGTTGAATCCACACATCCGCAACAATATTCTAGTCTAGAAACATTTTGCAATGTCCCCTGACAATTTCATGTGGTCACCAATCTACAACATGTGGTCCGACCACACTCACGGTCAGTGACTGCAATGACATGTTGAGCTAAAATTCTGGTCAGCGCGGCGAACAACCACGTCCAAGGCGCTTGATAACGGCGTCGAACGAGGATATACGGAAGTTTTTTAAACGTAAGAACTTGTTCTAAAAGCTATATGTGTTAGGTTCCGGAACAATTTCATGTGGTTACCGACAGCTTCATGTGGTCACCACATTGCCGATGTCATCAGGCAGACCAGCCGTAGCCCTCATTCAGGTTCAGACCCGTGATTGATTGCAAAGCGCATGAAGATCATTGATCGCCCGTTGAATCCACACATCCGCAACAATTTTTCTAGTCCAGAAACATTCTGTAATGGCCCCTGGCAGTTGCATGTAGTCACCCATGAACAACATGTGGTCACCAATCAACAACAAGTGGTCATTGACATGTCCGACTGGAATTCTGGTCAGAGCAAAATTCGACCAACGTCCAAGGATCTAGAACAACTTGTGTTGTCACCGAAATCCAACGTTCATGTGGTCGAAAGCAACGTGGTTTGGCAAATCAACGTGGTTTCTCACCCTATTGTAGCATGTGTCAGGTTTCACACTTGGATTGATTGCTAAGCACATGAAATGGATACTGACCTTGTAACAGGTCGCCTATCAGTCCTCCACAATTATGATACTTTTCTACCCCAGGACAATATAGATCATGCAACAAAAACGATCGCCCGCTGTTCGATTTGTATACACAGATAGACGTCACAATATGCGTCATTTGTTGGATGAGGTCAAGTGTTATGACTTGGATTCAGAGCGTGTCGAAATGTGGATCGAACGAGGATTGTACATTCGATCGATTAAAAGTGCGGATCTAAGAAGGGGGGTGTTGCTGATTCTAGCACGTGCTATGGAACCGGTGTCAAAGACAACCACTCTAGGTTCTCTGACGACTTTTCTTGACGCTGCGATAAGATCTCCATATAAAGAAGTCAGATACTCGGCGCAAGACGTCAATCTGATCTTATACACAGCGGAGCAAGTGCTTGATAACGGCGTTGAACGAGGCTATACAGAAGTTATTGAAACGTGACTCGTACTCCAATGAGAGACTATACATATGCTATCTCTCTACGATACTCTCTTTTGTTGGCGTATTGAGCTGGAATCCCCGATAACCCCGGACTGTGTGCCCCGGGTTGGCGAATCTTAGCTTGGATGGCTTGTCCGGGCCCTCCAGCCCCTTCTTCTTGCAAGGATCCGCGAACTTCCGATCATTGTGGATCTGTGGCACGTCGCTGTCGCCGAATCTCACGCCGTCGACCAACCTGTCCGGGTTGTTATATGCGTCCATGAGACTGCGTGTGGACTCGAAAGCCTTGATGTTCATTTTGCCTTCCTCCTGAAGGAAAGCCGCGAACGGATCGTTTTCCTGCTCCCAGGAGTGCATGTACGCCTTGCTGCTCTCCGGCATGTCAAGAAGCTTCTTCCCACTTGCGTACCAGTCCTTGGCACCTTGCACCAGAAATACCAATAGCTTCTCGGGCTCTGCCTTCAAGATGTCTTCCAATGCGAGGTCCCGGATTCCATGAAATGGGTTGTCCGGGTTGTAGCCCGGTTCGTCCGGATAGAAAAAGCGCATTGGAAATACAAGCGTCAAGAGGCGTCGCTTGAGCGCTATCGTCCAGGTCTTCACTCGAGGAGGGTAGTTGGAGCAGAGAATGTGCTGCAGATGGAACATATCGTGCATAAGCTCGTGAACGCGTTCTTGACACTCATGAAGAAGGCAGTTTTATAAGGTGGTGAGTAGGTGTCAACGTCCATGGACGGCACAGACGGCTAGGACAGCATAATTCGAAAGCCCTCGAAATCTGGTCTCGGCCCGAATATCTCCATCGAGGCCCATGGACAGCTGTGCTGTCCATCAAGACGAGGCTCCATCTACAAAATGCGCTTCATGGACGACACAGACGGCTAGGACAGCATAATTAAAAAGCCCTCGAAATCTAGTCCTGGCTCGAAGATCTGCATCGAGGCTCCTGGACAGCTGTGCTGTCCACCAAGATGAGTCTCCATCTACAAGATGCTCTTCACGGACGGCACAGACGGCTAGGACAGCATAGTTGGGAAAAGCCTCCATATCTGGTCTCGGCCCCGAAGATCTGCATTGAGCTCCCTAGAGGACAGCTGTGCTGTCCATCAAGACGAGTCTCCATCTACCAATTGCTCTTCAAGGACGGCACAGACGGCGAGGACAGCATGGGCGGACCTTGCCGAGAATGCGAAGAGCCTTCAACAACAGAGTTGTTCTTTGAAAGTTCTCATATATTAAAGAAAGCTTTCCGAGCACGATTACATCAGCTTTCCGCAGAAAGAAGATACGGCTCCGCCAGCATCAGATACCGGTGACTTACCAGCTGAGTTGTGGCAAATGTGACGTAATCCGAGTAGAGCGCTCTACTCGTGATAAAGGCCTCTCCGATCAACCGCTTCACGTTGGCCTCTGAAAACTCATCCGTATCTTCCGTCTCCGAGCATACAGCGAAACGAATGTTTCGTAAACCTGGAAAACAAACGTGTTCAAGACCTTCCGGATATCGCACACACCAATAAGACATTCTTAGGCACGATTCGCTGGTAATCGATCAAACATTTATCTTGAGATGAGCTTCGTACAAAAACTAGCTCTATCACTGAGCGCTTGAAACAGAACGGCAACGAGTTGATATACAGTTGGGCATAATCTTTTTCAAGCGCAATAGCAATCGTCGTTACCGAAGCTTCGTATCCTAGCACACATATTTCTGACCGTGAGTTGCTCACCTGCTTCCGCTGGATTTGCAGCACCTTTACCGAGCGGCCGTTGCCCCTTGGACGTCACAAGCATGTCCTTCGAGACGTCCTTGTAGAACGGGCCGATCACTCGCTTCAGCATAGCCAACAAAAGGCTCTTTCCCGCTCCGCCCTCGCCGATCATCGTCAACATGACCTGGTTGGACGTGTGCCCCGTGATGCCGTATCCAAGAATGCGCTGGAGATAAGCAAGCGCCTCCGAAGTGTGCGTGATTTGACGAAGAAACTCTCCCGTTCTGCCCAACGGCGTAGCAAGCCCAGTCGACGGCCACCAGACGGGGAGCTTGAAAGACCACAAAAACTGCAAGACAATACAGAAAAGAACAATAACCAAACGCAATGCAGGACTTTGCAATTCTCTCAAGCATTTGCATCAACTATGCAATCCAGATGGGTCCGTTGGTAACGTAATTATGGTCATCATACAAAAAAACGCCACATGCTATTCGAACTTGTGGCGGGGACATGAAAAGGAGCACATTTCAGAACGTTGGCAGTGTGCATGATTGCTGACAAAAAAGACACTATGAAATGCTTTGCTCAAGAAGAAGCGGCCCCCAAGTCAATAAAGTCCGGCCAATTCGAGTGGAGTTTCAAACAAAGTTAACAGCAGCCTCAAATACCCACCTTCGGATGGTGTGGCACCAGGATACCGCTCTTAAGCAGTATGACTCCGTTTTGAAGAGGAAGCGCATCTCTGTTGGTATTCAACGACTCTTCAAATGCCGTCTCCAAGCAATACCCTTTCAGAGTTGTCATGATCTGGCTCATCTTGGCGTTGAAGTTGAAGTTCACGAGCTTCTCCTTCGTAGACTTTTTCTCCTCCTCCGCTTGCGAACTCTTGCCGTCGGCATCCGACGCAGCCTCCTTTTTCTTCTCCTTTTCTTTCTCCGTCTCCTTTTTATACGCCTTGCTAATCTTGTTGAGCTCTCCGCGGCAAATTTGGCTCGCAAGTCGTCCATTCACGTCCACCCCCCAAACCGATCCGTCATAATAAAACCACTTTTCGTTGCAGAAAACGAGCTTGAAACCCGTGTACGTTTGCAAGCGGTCGATGATCAATGCCCCTCCTTCATCACCTGGAAGAAATGTCTTCGACTTGTCATTGGCAAGCAATAGATTGGCGAGTGGCAGCCTCACGTCTGTATTCACGCGCGGCGAGACACTTTTCCTAGGAGGCGATTCGAGCACGACTAATTGCAAGTCATGCATTCGAGATTTTCGTTTCAAAAACAGTCCTTGATCTCGAAGCTCTTCAATTCTTTCTTGAAAGGTTAACACAAGAGACGCATATTGGCTCAGGTCTGCATTATCGCGAAAGTTCTGCTTTCAAGAGGTTGACGTTGTAAGCAAACCTCGTGCACTTGTGACTGGGGGGCACCGAGGGGCGCACTGGCGGGGTCCCTCGAATTTGACTTCGTCCGCCAAATGGCCGAAGTCATGTTTTTCCAATTGGAAGTCCGTCCAACTTGGACAAACCTCTAGATCTTTTGACTTGATAGCAACTAGTCATAATGTTGTTTGAAGCACGGCTTACCCGCCGAAACCGAGAGGTTCTGTCGCAAAAACCAGAGGGGGAGCAGTTCTCGACTCTCGTACAATCGATCGCGATCGCTGTTCAGCGGAGAAGCGTCGGAATAAGCTGCGGCCACCGGGAAGCGAAGACGCCCGAGTTTTTTGTTTCGCTTGCTGTCGCCAGTCTTGCACCGTTGGCTGTGGCATACGTAGGTGATCTCTGTTCCTCTTCTGAGCAGACCAAAATTGTTGCTGCTGTGCGGCTGCGCCCCCTCCTCTGCATACGGACACACCCGCCCTCCCACATCATTTCGCCAGTGGTACATCACGGCCCCAAAACCGGCAGCCGTGCTCGGCTCCGCCTTCGAGAAGACAGAGGAGTTGTCGCCGAAACTGCTGAGCATGCCTCGCATTGCCTTGACCACGTCTTGCTGCAGCTCAAGATCCATTAGGTCCGGCGCCTCAAATTCCGCATTGGCTCTCGCGCTAGGCACGGGCGCACTGGAAAGCTCGGGTGGCCCTTTCGAGCGTTGCCCAGAACGCCTCGACACCCGCTCGTTGAGAATCTCGATCAACCAATTCGGGAGAGGGGGCAAATCTTTTGCTGGGGGGAGCTCGCCTCCTCCAACGACTAAATATCGTGCCGTCTCACCGAGTCGCTCATATGACGACGGGGGGCATGCGATCATGCCGTTTGAGCTAACACCCCTCATGTCGACTCCCACCTTCTTCAAAACCGCCTTTCTAGATTCCGGATCTCCGACTCTCAGCTCTAGCTTTGCAAAGTGGGTCGGTGTCTCCGCGCCCAGCCCCGACTCGAGACTTCTCTGATGAGAGAAGTAGATGTGCACTCCCCCGCTGCCCGTGCGCACCCGGGGAGCATCAAACGCGCCGTGCTCGGTTTCCCAGAATGCTAGCTGCTCCATGCCCCTGTCACCGACGTCAAAGTCGAGCACGACAATTCCGGACGCTGCCGTGTTGATCAGCAGCGTGTTGTCAGAGGGGTGGAAGTAGCGGTTGATCAGGCAATTTGCTAAGGTAGATGCCGGCCAATCTCGTGGAGGAACCATGCATTTTTTTCCCTTCTTGGAGTTCCACTTGGTGTTTGCCGTGAATACCACATAGCCTTTTGCAACCAAGTCGCGAGCCGCAATCTCCTGCACAACAAACACAGGATTGTAACCTTGTTGAAAGCCTACCGCACAAGTTCATCTGACTATGTGACCACGACCGACGACTGCTAAGCCGAACCAAACGTACGGGTAAATCTCAAAGTGTTGTCCCAACCGTGGTCGGCGAAATCGAAATCGCGAGCTACTTTCTCAAACTGCTGTCCCAGCCGTCCAAGCCGTCCATGAAGACGAGTTCGTAGATGAGACTTCCTCTACATGGACAGCACTCCCGTCCTTGGTCGGCAAAACCGAAAAGCAAGCTGCTTTTTTAAAGTGCTGTCCCAGCCGTCCAAGCTGTCCAAGAAGACAGCTTTGTAACTGCGACTCCCTGTAGATGGACAACACTCCTGTCCGCGGACGGCCTAGTCAACATCGTCAGCTATTCCGAAGTGCTGTCCATAAAGGGGAATTGAGTGAAGAGGGACGCTCCTTCAGCTGCACTCGAGTAAGTTCAACTCACCATTGCACTTGCTCCCATCACTCTTTCTTGGTCCGCGAGACGATGGTTCTGAGCGGAATCAACCGGCAGTGGACAATCGTCCAGCATCTCCTTGTCCGATGCCGTCTCCTCGTCGTCCGTTTCAGAAGATTCGTCGTCCGCACCTTCGCAATTATCACCGCACTCTGATGAAGCCGAGTCGGAACTGCCCGGCCCCTGCATCCAAATGGTAATATTGCTGAGGCAGCCTGTCACAAAAGGCCCAATGCTTTCCGGAGCCGAACAGGTAAACTGCAACAGGTTTTCGAGAAGGCATGCCATTACAGCAAGGTGGGTGTCGCATAAAATTTTCGCCGCGGCTGACGAATTTCCTTCCTTAAACGGGTTTAATGTGACATATGGAAGCACGGCCCTTGGGAGCAACTTGACTGGAGATGGGCAGATTGTGTTTGTTTACGACAGGCCTATCCAATCGGTGGAGGTTATCAAATTGGAGGGTCCAGACCAGCGCACCTGGGCCAAGGACGATGAAGACTTCCAAGATTCTAAAGGCTTGTCGCGTGCAGAACACAGCTACCCCTGAAGCCGCTCATTAGAAGATATCTTACACATCCTCCTTAGCTTCCAAAATTGTCTGAGACGGCGACGAATAGACACACGCAACGATGCATCCTTACGCTAGCATCCTCTGCCCCCATCACTTTGATATTGGCAGTCGAGTGTGCTCCTTCAACCCGACTTGCCGTCTGCTCGCTCGTCGCCCCTCCCTCATTCTCTGATTCGCCACTATGCTTGCGTTTTCGGCCCCGCGCCTGGCCCGCAACTTCCTGCATCAATCGCACACATCGTCACAAATCAGATCACACCGGATGATTAGCTTTTTCAAGGCCAATGACGGTGGCAAAGCCGAATCGAAATTGTGAGCTATTTCCGAAGTGCTGTCCGAACCGTCCAAGCTGTCCATGAAGACAAATTCGTAGTTGAGAGTTCCTCTAGATGGACAGCAGTCCCGTCCGCAGGCCGGCGAGGCCGGAATCGATATTGTGAGCTCCTTCCAAAGTGCTGTCCGAACCGTCCATGGAGACGAAACTGTAGTAGATGGCGTCTCTCCATGGACAGCACTGCGGTCAGCGCTTGGTGGGTCTCTTTGGCGGCATGACTGTCGACAAGAAGAACTACAAGATTGGAAGATTCTGAAAGCGCTGTCCATGCTGTCCATGCCGTCCATGGACACGAAAACTGTAGAAGATGACGCCTCTCCATGGACAACACTGCTGTCAGCGCTTGGCAACATGGATGCATTGATTTCAAACCAATCTGACCTGAGGCGCAGATCCCCCCACTCTAATTGAAAAAGTAAAGCTCATCTCAAAGCAAACGTTAAGAAGATTACCCACCATCTGATCTGCTCGAAGCTCTCTTCTCTGGTCCGCACGACGATGAGCATGGGCAGTTTCAACTGATGGGAGGCGGTTGTCACTGTTTCTAGCAGAAGACGCTGCTCGTTGCGACGAGGCTTTGGAGTCCTGCATGAAGGAAGTGCATGAAAGGTTGCCGCTTTTTGATTCCCAAAAGCTGGCACCAAAAAGTTGCAGGAATTGCCGGCCTGGATTACACAGCAGACCGCAAGAGCACGCTGCACCTTCTCGAGACTTCAAGCTATTCGTCGTAACTCGGGTATAGCTTTAAAATTCTGAACGTTGTGGCCAGTATCGTGTTGAAAGCGACTTTTTGCAGTGAACCCCACAAGGCTCACAAGGCAGACAACACCATCGTCCATCAAGACGGCCATTCTATTCAAAGAAACAGCCTCGGTGGACTGCACGGACAGCCAAGACAACACTCTCGAAATCTCAAAGGATTTCAAACACTGTCAACGATCGTAGATTCTTAAGTCAGGACCGCGGAGCCGGACAGCACTGCCGTCCATGGAGACAAAAGTTATTTTAGAAAGTGTCTCCATGGACACCGCGGACAGCGTGGACAAGACTTTGCAAATTTCACAGAAAGCCACAATCCACTGAGTGGAACGAGATTTTAGTAAAAGTAGCTCGCTGGAACTTGAATCACCCAGAAGTAGGGATGCTTGAGGCGCCGGGGCTTCAAACAATTTGTAGCCAGTATTCGAGGCAGGAAAAACTTTAAAGCAGTGCAATCACCTACAAAGAAGGGACCTGGCTGGGTGGCAAAGGGAGCTGTATTCTGCTTCACTGGGCCCCACATCGTGGACCAAGAAGCAAGCAGCACTTGGGGGACTGACCTTATCTACTGAACTCAAGACTCCATGACTGGCAGCGGTCTTCTCTAAAGTAGGCCCCCAGAAGATGAGTGTAGCAAAACACGTACCTGCGCAACGGTTGCATGAGAAGAATGCACCATAACCTGCCCAGGGTCTTTTTCACCACCTGTTCCCTGAAACTTCTCCTTCGACATGACACAATTTGGGAGCGCCGCAGCCTCTGATGCAGGGTGGTCGCCATTTACTAAGGCTCCATCTCCACCATTCATGAGTCCACTCAAGCACAGGGTTCTTCTCAATGCTTTATCCGTTCCTCTAACAATGTTACAAATCAGACCCTTGAGGAATATCGCTCATGACGGAACTCTTCAATGCCTTCTCGCTTCTCATGCGAATGCAGACCAAAGATTGAAAACTTTGCCGCCCTAGACAGCTGGAAGACAAGGTCACAAGATTATCACTACGGCGACTAGGCCCTTGGTGGCTAGCCCAACTAAAGCAAGATATTCAACCACTTTTTTGGAGAGTTGCGGGAAGTGCTGTCCGAGCCGTCCAAGCCGTCTACCTTAGCGGAACTTGTAGATGGACTCGACACTCGATGGACACAGTGCTGTCTATGAAGACCTTGATCTGCGGGCTTGATATTCGGAATATTGAAGTTTTCAAGAACTCTGGGACTGTCGAGGCGCTCCTGTGGTTTTTGGATCTTAAGAAGTTGGAAATGAGGAAAGTTGGGAATGAGGATTTTGATTTGAAATTCTGGATTTTATAGGCTCGCAGACGGGCAGCTCCTGCGGTCCGGTCCGGTCTCCAGGCCACTCATGCGCGCACGTACGAGCCCCGAAAGGCCAGAATTTTCCCTCGGTCCGGTCCCGAGGCCACGTACAAGCCCCGAAAGGCAGGATTTGTATCGGACCGAAGGAGACACTGGGAAGGTGGCAAGAATGCTGAGTCGGGCCGAAATACGTACGCAGCTGCCACGTACGGCACGGCGTCTGCTATTCGTCGGACCGTCCACCCCCAAGTTAGCGGGTCGGTTTGCCCATCCGGACCGTTTTTGGGGACCGAGGCGCGGTGCGGCACCGGGTCTCGCCGAAAAGGGGTGACACGTGTATGGTTGTCCATTTTATGCCGTTAACAGATTGTTATTTGCCCACGTGTCCCCCCTCTTCCATTTCTGCCGGTGGCCTTGAGATTCCGCTATGGGTTCCGTCCGACCGGGTCTGTTCCCGAGTGGGACATTCTTGAGGGCCGAAATATGCGCCTCGCACATTTTACCACGTATGCTGCGTAGGGCCCGATACGTATACGCGATTTTTGGCCATATGTGGACGCATTATTGACCTCCTCGCCCAAACTTGGCCTCGAATGCAGCGGACAAGTCCAAGTTGCGGTTTTCTAAGCTTGGACCCACAGCTTTACAGAAAATTTTAAAATGAGATCAACGTCCTCCTTTGCTCGACCCTACTGACCTTTCATCGGTTTGCATGGTGCATAATTTTTTAGGAAATTGCGGCTGCCGCACCGTCAACTGCATCAAGAATATGTGGAATGCTAAGCTCGCCATGCTCATGCACATCTAACATGCGGCATTGACTCGCACGTAGCTTGTCTAATGTGTTGCATGCATTGACGGAACTTCCGGTGATCAAAGGAGCTGCTTTGGCATGTCGATCAAAGATTTCTAAAGGCATACATCGAAGTATAAGTATGTGTCGCTCCTTCGTTCTAAAACGCGTCTTATTGCACTTGATACCCATACAAGCTCACCATTCTCCTGCCCGCTAAATGCAAGATGCTCCCATATGCATGCGGACTACTCTCCGGAACGATCAAAGCCCACCCCTCAGAGACATGTTAGAATTGACATACTCGTACGTGCGCTTATCAAACCGCCTCTACCGTTCGCAAATAAAGATGTGAGGTATGTGAGGCATTCAGGCTGCTCACAGCCGGAATAGTGCACACGGAGGATCCACAAACGTTGTAAATAAGTCTGTATCAAAGACAGGAGCTGAGTCAAGATGTCCACATTGATTTGTTCCATCTGACGTTGCCCTTGTGCAGCAACCAGATGTCCCGAGCACCACCCTCGAGGCGAAAGAATGGCGCGTCACGGCTCCTCAAAAGCTGACTTCAAGTGCAAACTGCTTAACCGCGTTCCTCACTGCCGCAATCCCAGTACACTGCTTGATTTCAGATCCCTGGAACTTCATGAAGGAGTCGGAGGGCAGGGTAAAGCAAAGCTCAACAGCCCCGGGCCCGTTCTGCTGGAGGAACTCGATGGCCTTCTTCAACCCAGCGCCTTTCAGGTCGTGCCTCTTGCTAACCGTTATCTGGAACAAGACGTTCGGCTGCACTGCAGAATCCACAGACTCGTTTGTCCTGCTCCGGGGTCTCAAATACTGCCCGTTTTGCTTGCCCTGAATATCTTGCCAACTGTCAAAGATGAAGGGGGCTGCACCAGGAGGAGGGTTAAGAATCTTGATCGAGGTGGTCAACAACGGGTCGGACAGCTCCCTTATCCTAAATCGCCCGCCCTGGATTAGTCTGGCGTGGCAGAACCCCTCCCACAGGTTGCCCCTCAGAGCTCCGACGGAGCCCTCCCCTTCTGATGAGCTCAGGAACATTCTCAGGTTTTCCTTCTCATTCTTCCAAAGTTGATACGCAACCCTATGGGTCACGTAGACCGAAGCCATCTCCATCACGGTCGTCTCGAAGTCTTCCCGGACGCGAAGATGGAGCAATTTATGGCTCGCTTCATTGGGAGCCGCTTCTGACCCGACTGACTCGACGAGAACCTTCAGAGACGTGCGGCAGATGGCCTGCTCGAGGAGAGCCTGAGCATCCGAGTCCACCTTCTCTAGAACAAACCGCGGTATGCCACCCCATCTGCAGGATCAGGAGGATCTTGCAAAGCATCAGCGACTTTTGGATAGCATTCAAAGGACCTGTCCATTATAGATCGCAAGAAATAAGAATAGCATTCGAAGGACCTGTGTATCATCGACCCCATGAGAGCATGCGATTCCTAGGAGTAAAAAGCAAAAGCTTTCCTGACATATTCTGATGTGAATGTTCCTCGATGGAGATATAAGCAACCTGCAAGTCCGTACCTGTCGTACCGGACCTTTGACTCGTCAGGATCGAGATCTGGGAAGACGCCTGCTTGACAACTCTCCAGTTCCTCCCACGTCCACACGTCCATGTAGCGCATCCGATAACCCCCCGTTTTCCAGGGCTCCTGCCAACAACAAGAAGGGCATATAAGCTTCCAAGACAAACCACCAAGCAGATCGTCAGATCAAGCCTTGACGAGTCCAAGAACTTAAACGTACAAATCTTGAGAGGTTGCTGCTTAGGTGTCCACAAAATTCCAGCATGCCTCACCTTGTAAATTCGTGGATCCGGGGATGTAACCAGGACCATCTGTGCCCCGTCTGGCATGTCGCCAACGTCCATCGGGTTGAGACCGTCTACCAGATACCTGCAATCAGCAGAAGCTTTTTAGATCGATTTTGTCCCAGTTGTGAAACCCCAGAAGCAACATTCTACCGGGCTCATACAGCAATTGCAGAGCAACAGATACAAACAAATTATGCTTCAACATGCGACCACATCGTCCAGAATCACACATACCTCACTTCGGGCCGGCTCAGCTGATCTGCAAGGGACTTCTCGTCCAGCAGAAAGCATCCGTCTTTCGTAAGCAGCGTCGGCCTTGAACAGAATCCCCGCTTGACAACCACGACAGGCGGTGGCGGGTCTTCAGTTGCCCACTGGTACAGGAGCAGGTATCCAAATATAGATTTCCCTATTCCTGCAAGGAAACATACTCGGCTACACTTTGTGCAGTCTGGATGCGGCCTCAGAATCTCCAAAAGAGGCGAAAGTAAAGAGCTCACGGAACATAGCCCAAACCCCTTCTCAGAGACAAAAACATGTGCCTTTTTCTCACCTGGGTTGCCGATGATCGCCACTGCCCCGTTCTTTTTCTTCCCCTTGCTATCTTCTTGCGCAAACAGCCTTGACACTTCCCTCTGTAAAGATGGATAGCAGGCTCGAAGGTACAACTGGCTGCCGAGCTTCGCTTTCCCTAGAAAGTTGGTCCCCTTAGCAAGTGTCAAGACCTTTCCATCATCGGACCAAGCGGCATGCGGCAGAGCCGCCCAGAAGTCCGACAATGCTTGCGGAGGCACTGAAACTGCACAGGAAAAAAGAAAAGTTCCTTCCAGTAAGCACGATTGTGCAGTCGAAGGGTCTTCAGACTTGCACCGTAAGGTGATCTCAAGCAACCTTACCAAGACCAGCAGACGCCTCTAGGCAAGGATTGCACAAGCAGGCTGACCCTCCCATTTTGTGTAGCAGCCCAGCTCAACTTGAGGCGGCTGGATGACGGCCAACCTATGCGCAAACAGACGCTCTAGCCCAGCCAAGAATCCAATATCTGCAGGTACTCACTGTCTGCAGAGGTACTTGGCCCAGCGGTTGCTGCACAAGATCAACAGCATTTGTCAAGTACCATAGAAGAGGCTTCCGCAGATGCCAATCCAAGCGTTCCGCTTCCATCCAGCCGCAGCGGCCAAGCTGACAGTATCTTCCTGCCCTGTCCTTGCAATCAACGCTGTTGCACGATTCTGCACAACTTGCGGGCTCGTCAGCATCTGAGCATGCGCCTGACCCAAGCACAGATAGTCATTATGAGCCTGACTTCCTGCTAGAAGCAGCAAGCTGATTGGTGCACTCGCACACGCCGGGCAATGTCTTGCAGCAAGCAGAGGTTGTAGTGCATGCTTCTGCCAGGCATCTTATGTGGCGGATGCTCAGATCAGGGAGAACGTACAATCATCCCAAAGAAAGAATGAAATACCTGGCCTGGCAGGTGAAATGCACTTGCACAGGTTTTATGTCAAGAAAATGTTGTTGTTGACAGATGAAAGCCTTCTGACTGGGTGTCTTTTGGGAGGACCATGCTCCCATAAAAACCAACGAACCGGAGGGGTGGTGTACATCACTGCGTCTACCATGACCCAGAGAGCTCAGGCACTCTGCCCTATTGTAGGCATGCGCAACTTCAATTGCACAGGTCTACCGTCAGATGAATGTTGTCATGAGGAAAAAGAATCTCGGACTGCGGTGGTGCGAACCACAGTGTCTACCTTGAACCAGAAGCTCCAGCACTCTGCTCGACTGCAGGCAACACTTGAATGCTATTGCACATGTCTGACTTTGAGAGAACATCACTAGATGCTGCTCCAAGGCTTGTAGCAGTCTTCCACTATCTTCAACACCCAAACACCAAAGCAAGAGACATATCCCAAATCTGCTGGCTGGAGCCGCTCCTCCCCTGTCCCGGATTGGGTGGAGCAACAGGTAATGGTTGAAGAAAGGCGCTCTGAGCCAATGCAATCACCTGCCTGCTGCCTGCATTGCACAATCTCAAAGGCCACTAAACACAAGAGTCAACATGCTTGGCAAAACGATACGTACCTGCAGACAGCAGCCGGGCCTTTTCGTCCCGCAGCTGCTCTTTTTCCTTGCGCAGCTGCTTCTCCTTATCCCGCAACTGATCCTTTTCCTTCTCCCAACGCTGCACCTCACTCTCATTGCCAGCCGCTTCCGCACGACCAATCTTCTCTTTTGCTTCCTTAATCTCTGTTGAAAGAGCATCAATCTCTTCGTTCACCTTTGCGACTTGCAACTCAACAGCCTGGATAGCATCCATTTCGATTCTCTCTACCTTCAGTCTCTAGGACAGACCAGGCAGCATCTGGAAGCAAAATGCAAAGAGGAGAGAAGTGCTGATCTCCCGCCCCCTTCCCAGCCGAGATGATTGATGTCTAGAAAAATACTCGCAGGGATGGAGATTGCATGCGCCTGAGATGGTCCTTGAATGACGAGGACTCGTAGACAGGACAGGTACCAAGGCTTTCTGACCCGTACTAGCAGGATCACAGGAAAGAAAGGACGATCAGTGGTAAATCGTGTTTGATCGATGCTCTCGAAAGCGCTCCATGGCAGATGCGTTTTTCGAAGCTTTTTCTTTGCAACCGCCTTAACGCGCGCTGCTCGCGCTGTCTCTGCAATTAGGTTTCGGACGGGAGATTAACCGTGACTCCCAAAGTCTCGCTTCGCGGCCGGTTCGTTGTCCTACAGGCGACCTTCGTGCGGGCGGCATCGGGTCTCTCCGAAAGAGGGGGACACGTGGCACAATGTGGTTGGCCCTTTTTATGCCGTTAAACAGATGGTTAGTTGTATCCTAGGCAAGCGATTCTCTACCGGGTACTCTGGGTACTCTACGGGGCGCCAGTCCCCGTCCGACGGTTACCCGGAATGTGGGCGTAGGCGTCACGCCGGCGGCATCGCCGAAGCGCGACGGCGGCACAATTTGGGCAATTGCCGTCGATCTCAAATGCACTCCCGAGTGCAGGCGCCCACTTGGGCCTAAAGGCACCCTGAATCAGTGCTCGACGACTAAAAAAGTGCAGCCCGGCCAAGATAGGTGCCCGGTTTGGCCTCTCACGTGGCAGTCAAAGCCATTTTTCAGCGTAACCCAACGCGGGTGGCATGCAAACCGCAATTCAGAAGTCACTTTCCATAACTCTCGATTTCGTGCATGAAGGGTAGGTAAGCGCCATGAACGGTGACGGAAACACTTAACTAATAACCTAAACCATAGTTTGCAAGCTCCGCACCCATACCCACCCTAACCCCCTAATTAACCCCACCCGTCCCAGTTACCCTTCATGGCGCTAATACCCTTTTTAGCACAGATT